GCAGAAGCACCACACAGGAAAGCCCCCCTACAGCCCCAGAGGTGAGGCCTCCTCAAGTCCAGAGCCCCCAGGCCCTGGGGCACCCTGCCCACGGTTCACGCCTAGCCCTCTGCTCCCGTGAGGCCCTCGAGCCCTCCCCACCAGCTGCCCCCACAGCCACCGCCCTATGGGCTCCAAGGGGGCCTTTGCTCTCCTCCTACACTCGGCCCTGCTGGCAGATCTGGTGCAGAGTTCAGCCTTCCTTCCTGCTGGGGCCGAAGGGCAGGCCCGTGGTTCCTCTGCTATGTCACCGAACCTCCTCCCTCTTCTTGCCCACTGTACAGTGACTAGGCTCAGTCGGTGCCCCTGCTGCCTGCCTCGGTCTCCCTGCTGGAGCTGGCCCAGCTCATCAACTCCAGAACTGCGGCCACCCAAGCCTGACTTGCAAAACCAGCCCAAGATCCTAGAAGCCCAACTGCTGAGGCAACTAGTCTAACCCACCAGAATGCGGACCATGGGAAGAGACACTCGTGCACACCCATATGTGGATGTGCCTCAAGCCCCTTCCAAACACGCGGGTGGATGGGACTGACACCCTAGAGCCACGTCCTCCACGCTCAAAGACCTCAAGTTTCTTGCAAGAAAACTCGGTGGCTGCCCAGGAAGCTGTGTCCCTCCCCTGTGGCACAGGCTCCAGGCTCCAGAGTTGGGAAGCTGCCCTCGGGCCTGTCCTCAGGTCAACGAGGAGCTCTGGGCGGACCGCCAAGAGGTGGCCAGGGAAGGACAGGGGACAGGAGGGCCAGGCTCGCACACACTCCCCTTCGAGGCTGGCCGAGCAGCAGGAGCTCCCCACTGGGACCAAGGTTTGTGGTGATTCAGAGAGTATGTGTAAGAAACAAACAGCAGCAAGAACAAATTCTGATGGGGAGAAAAAAGCATTCTTTCTAAAAACAAAGTAGAGACCACCACGAGTCATCTCCATCTGCTGTGAGGACCCAGCACGGACCCAGCACGGGGCCCTGGGGGGAGGTGGTGTGACCATCTTCCTAAACTCTCACAGCTCCTCCCGGACTACCGCTCAGAGAGGTGCACCAACTTACCCCAAAGTCGCACAGCGAGTTAAGTTCTGGTCAAAGTCAAAGTCAGGCCCGAGTCTCCAGTCTCACTCTGCCACCAGGGAAGATACTCCGTGTCCCTAGCACCCCCAGCACACCAGCGCCAGCCTGGATGTTTCCGGCGCTCTGCGGTCTGGGGAGAGCACCCTGGCCACGCACGAACCTCCCTCGGTGCAGAGCCAGCTCCTTTAAGGGACTTTAAGGACAGTTAGTCCAGTGACTGCTGACCTGGAGCATCTGTGGAAGGGAGCTGTGAGCACCCACTCACTGTGAAAGCAGCTACAGACGCCCTGTCAACAAGCGGGCACCTCAGCGTTCCCATAAAACTCGATTTGCAACATCAGCCAGGTGGGCCACTGTGTTCTGACTATGGCTCCAAACTAAGCCTAGTCACTGTGCAGGGGGCAGAAAGAGGAAGTGCTTTGCAGCGACAACCATTTCCTCCCGGGCTGCCCTCAGATGGCTGACGGTGGGGACAGCTGCAGGCCCAGAGCCTGTGTCTGAGGCCCTGGAGCAAGCTCTTCTCACTCAAGCAAGTCCTTTCTCAGGACCTTCTGGCCTGGAATCACGGGCTGCTTCAGGTCCAGGGCCGTCCAGTTAGGGGCCCCGTGGAGACATAACGTGGGCTCTGCCAGCAAACACCTGCTGTACGGGGGAAGGGCGGGAGCCCCTCCCTCCACCCGGGTCCTAAACCAACCACAGCATGTGGCCAGGGCTACGAACACGCTCAGAGCCACATCCTCGACCAAAGTGTGAAATGAAATGCACCCAAGTCTCGGGTCGCCCACTCTGGGCCTCGGATAGGATGACACGGCTCTCATGGGCGCCCGGGATGCTCTTCAGAATTCGGCAAGTTAGCCTTTCGCCTCTGATTTAGTTACATGCAGCATAATCTGCTCTTTCCACTCTAAGGAATCCCCACTTCTCTTGCCAAGCAACTTAGAAGTTTGTACTCCCACCCACATCCCTCATCGTCTGTAAAATCTCTTCCACTATCTTTCCAATCCTGACACTCTTGCCAACACCAAGTACACCCGGAGTGAGCACAGGCGAAGAACTGCAAGTGACATGTCACCAGAGGCCCTGTGATGACCCCACTCCTCAAAGACCCATCTGACGCCACAGAATCTGCACCCCAAAGGCGGGACAATGGCCCCATCAAAGGACAAAAGCTCAGGTTTTCCCCAGGCCTGGCTCAGGCAGAGACTGAACTCACCTCAAATCCTACTTAATCTGAGTGGTTTCCAATCACCAAGTAGCAGTATTTCCTGTTTCCCTTTTAACTCCTAAAGCATCTCCACACTGAAACAGAGCCTGATTCAGCTCTAAACAAACGCTAACCTGTTTTCAGCAATGCCTAATGGGCCAGGTACCATGAAATACAGAGACTTAACCCAAATGAATCACACATCAAGTATTCACAAAGCACTTCCGGGAAGGAGTGTCACACCTGGCCCGCCCCTTACGAGAACCTGGGAGAAAGATGACCCAGACAGCAGGGGAGCAGATGCTGAAACAAACACCCCAGACACAGCCCGGCTGGAGGAAGCCCCAGGAGGAAGTGAGAATTCATACATGGGCGGTCTATAAAGAGAATCGCACGGCAGCAATGGGCCGAGTCAGCATTGAAACCAATGGGTAATGGTTTGGAGCCCAGAGCTGATCCCAGGCTCAGTCCTGAGAGAGGGAGACCAGTTGCAGCCCTGCTCCCCACCCTCCACTGTCTGTTGCCTTCTTCAGATAACGTCTCATCACTCCACCTCTCCCACAGGCTTCTGCGGTGTTTAAGCTCAAGCTCCAGGCACTTTTCCAGTGAACTTCAACCCACCAGGTTCCCGAAAGGTCCTGGTCTCCCCTTCCTTGGAACAACTTCCCCTCGAATCCCCACCCAAGTCCTATGCAAGAACTAGCTTGCTGGAGCCCAGGAGCTCAATAAACACTAGTCAGGTGCCCAGCAGGAACCTTCCACCAGGCCTGTGCTGCTGCCGTCCAGCCCTGGGGACATCTGCCAGGTATGCTTTCATTCATTTTAACTATGAAGTGAGGGCTTCGAGGTTTTTACGAGTGAATCAACATCCTGTTTCTCTTCCATCGTGTAATAATCACTGGCCGTCCCACTCCTCCAAACACCCCTTCCCCTCCGCTTCCTCACGCAGGGTCTAATTATCTAGGAGTGAAGCTCTGGGACATTCTTTCATCAGAAAGTTGGGGGGGGGTGACACTGAGAAGACCCAGTACCTTACACGTTCTGTCTCATTTGAAGTAAAGCACACTCCTACTGTGACTGATGTGAATCAGCATTACTCTTTGTTAAATTCCCATTACCTGTGACAAAAACTCACCCTTATTTACTATCAACTACCCTATGAGCCAGAAACTGTTATCTGCTGCATTACCTTCATGTTCTAGATTTCACTCTTACAATTTGGGAGATCAAATGTGGGTAAGCAGCCGACGGTGAAAAGAAGCAACCGCAGCAGATGCGTTCTGGTGGGTTAATTACCTCCCCCAAAGAACTGTTATTACAGTAGAGCATAGTTTTTTTTTTAAGTCGTTTTGAGACAGTAAAATAAAGGGATGAACTGACTTAACTGTGGAAACTATAGTTAATTGGCTCTACACACACACACACACACATGAATAGAGACTTTGCCTCAAAACACACACACACACACACCCCAAAACCCCAATGGACAAGTGCAATTTAAAATCTGATTCAATATACAAAACAGGAACTCTCGAGTAGAAATCCCAGTGAATGACCACTGTGGCCGTGTTTTAATACAAACAAAACAAACAGTAAAACATACACCCTCGTCATGAAAGGAAAATCAGAGCAAACAAAAGCCTATTTCTGTCCTGGAGAGGCCTGCCATTTTCTGGGAGGTCAATTCTCTCCGAGGCGACAGCTTGGTCAAAGGAGCAGTAGAAGCAGCTGGGGGTGGTGGCGGGGGAGACTGGAGCGCTGACATCTCAAACCCTGATTTTTGCAAACGACAAGTGGTCTTGTGGTGATCGTTAAGGTCATGCCACCCTGAAGATGGGCTCCGTCCGCCTTCCCGAACTTGAAGAGGGAGTTGAATCTTTCTGGTAAGACTTATGCCTGGCAAGCGTTGAGCTGGCGAGGCACGAAGCCAAGTGCAATTATGTACGCTCAACTGAGAAGACCCAGGAAAGTTAGGTTGCGAACCGCCGCGGATAAATATAGGTAACAACTACTCTTACAATAGAGCCTTTTCGGAGTTTCAATCCGTACAAATGCCGAGCAGCTCTTCCTCAGCCACACAAGTCTCACAAAGGTCATAACCGAAACAGTTTCCATTATGATCTGCACAACAGTACCAGCACTTAATGAAAGGCAAGCTGCAAACCAACCGAGGGACTCCTACCCTTTCGGGAGGGCAGTGGGGACGCAGCCTGAAGAAATATTCCTACCTGGTCCCTCCTTGCCACCCCTTCGAACGCGCAACCTTCCCTTTGAAAAATTACTCTACGGCCGGCCCCTTCTGCGAGTGCCGATGGGAGCGTGTTGTGGCTGTAAACGACGGAGCGCCAACTCTCTAAATGCAAGTCACTGGGAAAGGCAGGTCACCCGTGTCAACCCCCCCACGCCAACGTGAAGTCAAACGTCTGGAATGCGAGATGAGGAGGCCAGGGTTCTCCGATCCCTGGGCCACTAAGTACACGGGGCCACAGAGGAGACGCTCACACAGCGGGGCCATGAGAACCTAGAGGAGAAAGAAAGTGGATCCACAGCAAGGTCCGGGGTGTGGGAAAGCTCCGCCGGGGAGCGGAGAGGGCGAGAGGGAGCCGAGGCGGGCCGGCCGGGGGTCCTCGAGGGCGGTGGGCGCCCGGGCACCAGGCCCGGCCTCCCCGGCCCGGCACGGGTAGTCGGGCGGCCCTCACCTTGTCCGAGTCCAGGTCGGGGTCGGCCTGGCACAGACGGTACAGGAAGGATTTCGGGTCCCGGCACAGCGTCTGCCGGGTGGTGAGGAAGTAGGTGCCGCCGACGTTGAGCCGGACCCACTTGGACACGCCGCCGGGGTGCTGGGCCGGGGCGCCGAGCCCCGCGCTGCAGCGGCGGCACAGGCCGGCCCCCAGCCCCGCCCCGAGGCCGCTCGGGGCCGGCGGCAGCAGCTCGCAGTGATTCTCCGCCATGATCCCAGCAAGCCCCGCCACAGCTCCTCTCCACCGGAAGCGTCCGGCCTTTAATACAGTCCTCCGAGCTCTGTCCCGCCCACGGGTCCGCCCTCGTAAAACGCCCTCCCTGGTGTCACGCGGCAGGCGGAAGTTCCGGTCCGGAAAAGCGGCCGGCCGAGCCCCCTTCCGCCCGGAGCCGGGCGTCGGGCTCGAGGGGCTCGCCGGCCTCCGCCCCCCCGCCCCCGCGCGTGCGGCGCACGGACGCTGGGTTCCGGGCCCGGAATGCAGGTGGCCACCGAGCCCGACCCACGCCCCCGGTCAAAGAAGAGTTAGGCCAGTGAGCGTCTACACTCTACATGCTTTTTATTACAAGACTACCGAGCGTACGTGGAAAAAAAAACATCCAGTAACTACATCTAAAGCACAAATATTTGAAAAAAAGAGAAGAAACAGATTCATTAAATTATGATTAAATCATTGACCAAATAGAAAATTTATATAATAAAGCCAGAAAAAAAGTTGTAAAATATAGTTTACAATAATTATTCACATTCAAGGCTGTACATCAATACATACAACAACGTGGCCCCGAACATGAATTCAATCCAAATAATTCATATATTAGATTTTAAATAACACAGACTGAACTAGAGGCCAACAATAGCCAGCAAATAACCTTATATAAGAATAAAAATACAAAAGTGTATATCCTAATATCATTGCATTATTTGTTTTCATAAGTTTTAAATTTTTGCTTTGCCTGTACATCACAGTTACAGCTACAGACCAGGTAGAGAATTTTACACGTTCTAACTGACTGCCACCAACCTGAAAGACAGCTAACATACTATTGATTCATCCGATTTTGTGTTATGGAACAGCTACAGCAGTTCTAAATAATGCAAAATTTATTTTTGTCAATGTCCAATCAAACTTCGGATAAGGAGAGGCTTTTCAACAGCAAAACGACCCCTATTCATAAGTCATTCTGCCAGACTGGTTGGGACTAGGGTGGATCACACGCTAAAAAAAGGTCTGCCTTTTGTAAAAAGTTCTCTGTACGCGAAGTTTGGTGTCTCTTCACACTGAAGTAGTGGGTTCTGGGGAAAATTCAGGTATACATGTAGGCTAGTTCAGTTGCCCATCACAGCTGTCTGAGCTACAGATAAAACTGCTCTTGGCTGGAACAGCTCCTTCCCCAGACCAGTTCTCCACAGGCAGCCTGATTTGCAACTCCGCAACTTTGGGCCAGCGGCCTGCCCTCCTCAGACGCTCTGGAAGAGACTCCTGCCCTGATTTGGGGCACTTGCCAGTATAGGCTGCCTAAGTGGGAAGGGCCACACCCACCTGAGTCACCGTCAGCTCACGTGAGCTTTGGATGAAAAGAAACAATGTGGAAAAAACGTACAGGGCGACATCTCTAAGGATAGTACCTGCATCATATTCTGGCAAGCGGCTGCAGCCTCCGCGGTCTGGGGAGTGAGCACCCTCAGTCTGTGGACGGGACAGGGGACAGGGGACCTGGGGTGTCAGAGGGCAGGAAGTCCAATTCTGCACAATCCAGCCAAAAATCTCTGGCAGACTCAAGTGACACTGAGCACAGCACCTAAAAAAATCTCTCACGCACCTCTCCTCTCAGCATCAACGGACCCCAAACTAAAGTGGAGAAATTAGGAATGAAACCAAATTGGGTGTTCTGGGTTTGAAGACAGCCAGACAACCTGCAACACCGTGAGGGAGGACAGGGGAGGAGTCCCGAAAGCCATGTGGGCCAGGACAATCACCCTCTACAGTGAAAAGGCCTGGCCACTGCGCTCTACTAACTGGTAAGACCTTCCTACTGAGTGCCACCATTTGAAGAGCATGGGGGCAAATAACCTTATGTTAAACCCAACTGCCTACGTGGTCTCTTTCTCAAGTAAGATTTTGCCCTTTTACTGATTCCAAATGGCCCAATGTATTTTCGGAGTCTACACACTTAATTACAAATCATCTACTATGCATGTGGCAAGGTCAGTTCAACACTTTTTATCTCTGAAGCCTGTGCAGATGCAAATTCAGTACCATTGTGGACACAAAGTACAAGCTTCTGAAAGTATCACCAAGCAGGTGAAAGCCACAGCAGCAGGGATGGGAAGGTAACTAACATGCAAGCATCACCAGATTCTGTCAATGAAAATAAGGAAATGCACTTTTGGAAAAATCTGTCACAAAAGGACTGCAATAAATGATATCATTTTAGCATTGTGGGGGGGGGAAAAAAGAGCAGTCTTATTAAAACATTCTTTGGAACACACACCTTAGCAGAAACTGCTCTGCCCAGAATCTGTAGGACAACTGAGGAGGTTGTGTGCTGGAACTGAGCATCTAAGCCTCAGATCAAGACAGAGGAAGAGAGACTAATACAACCTTTAAAACAAACCCTTTGTGACCCCAAAACACTACTTCTTCTAGGAACCGAGGGTGGGGGGCGATCAGAGTCAAAATCAAAGATTTATGAGGGTATTCATCACAGCATTATTTAAATAGTGAAAAACCAGAAACCATCTAAATGTTTTATAACAGGAAAATGGTCAGATAAGTTACGATAAAAATAACCATATTAAGCTCTACAATCACTAAAAACAATGTTTTTCATCATTGTTCATGACGTGGAAAAATGCCTAAGATAAATTATCAAGTGAAACAAGCCAGATGCAGAACAGTGTGTGTTTCATGTTCCCACTTCAGTTTAAAAAGCAAACAAATGTGTGCATGGGGGGTGGGGGGGGCTATACACCAAAATGTTCACAGTGGTCTCTTCTGGATGGTAAGCCTACAGCTGATGTTCTCAGAAAGCAAATGTTTTAAGAAAGTACAGAACCACCTTGAGCCCCTGGGCTGGCACCTGGCCCTGGGTGAGTCTGTGCCACGGGGCAGACTCCTGCAATGCCTATAGGCCTCGGCCACAAATACCACAGGGCAGCAGTAGGGGCCTGGAGAAGGTGCGGGGCCCACCAGCTCCAGCACAGCCCAGAGGCATCTCCCGCAAAGCAGGCCTGTTAACACACTCCTCAGAGCCAAGGTTCAAAACAGCAGGTGCAATGCCTTTGTGCACCCCACGGGGCCACCTGCTCCACGACCCATCGCCCAATGTCCTGGTCAGGTCCACAGAAAATAGGGAAGGAAATAGCCCCACCCAAACCTGGCTTCCTGGAGTTCCCAGAGAGGGGCAAGGCGCAGTGGGCCACCTGAGGCTCTGGAGGCCACAGCCCCACCCCCTCCCCTCCATGCCCGGCGAGGCCACATGGTGGGGGACCGGCTCTGCTTGCCTGCTATGTGGTTGGCACTGAACTTTCTCCTGGCCCTAAGACACATGGCTCCTGAATCTAATCAACAGGGCACTTTCTTTCTCAGTGTGGATGAATCACCTGTACTTCCATGTATGTCTGGTACATACTTGATTGACAGCCATGCCCACATCTTAGAAGGCAAGGCACCTGCACCGGGGACAGGCACTCTAAGGACAAGCTGCATACAACGAAAGCCGACAAGGACAAGCACAGGATAGGAGAAGAACATGTATGTGCCTTAAAAAAAAGCGGGCGGGAGAAGGCTCTGAGAGGAGAAAGGTGGCGAAGGGAGAAGGGCTCAGCTGTCACTGGCTCAGGCAAGGGCAGTCACTTCAACTCTGTCAGCTGAGAGCTGAACCCTGAACCCCTCATTCTCTGGTTCCGGAGGTTACGATGGAGCTGGTGGGTGAAGCCCAGGAGGTAGTGGCGCTGTCCAGAGAGGAATGCAGCGGACGCTGCATCTCTCCCGGAGCAGCCCAGCCGGGCGCTCTTGTTAGAGCCAAACGCCAGCCCTGCTCGTTTCCCCATAACCAGACCCAAGGAAGAACACTGTGCAAGAGCAGCCCCCGACTCTCCGAACGGCACGCCCACAGACGCGGGTGTCCTAAGAAAGGTAAATGATCAACATGGGGAATAAGCTGGAAATGACATTCCTGAAGGCCCAGACTTAATTTTTGAAAAGCAGGTGAACACAGGCAAGCCTCTTCAACAGCGGGGAGGAGGAAGAGGGGAGCGTGACCTATGACCCTGGCCCCGGGTAGCATCCCACTCCCCTGGGTGCCCCAAAGGCAGGCACGCCCCCCACAGCTTGGCACCCGCCCGGGTGTGGGCACACACATGCAACCTCGCTCACTCATGCACGCACAGCTCTCACAGAGCAGTGCACAAGACCCGACAGGAAGCCGCTGGCACTCCCCGCCCCACTTCCGCTCCCATCCGCCCCCCTGTGCACGGCCCAGCGGGGGCAGCTCCACAGCCACACTCCCCTCACCAGGCAGACACAAGGGCCACTCTTAATCACTAAACACGCTTGAGAAAAACATCTCTTCTCTCGATTTGGACCACTCGTAAACACGGGGTGACGGATGGTTTGTTCGAGATAGGAGATGGGGGCAGAGTGGTCGGGGGGGACCTCTCCTGTGTGAGCCTTCTGCTGGTGCCTTCGTGAGAGTCCAGGAAACGGCAAAGTTGTTCATCCCCTGGGGACAGAGATGAGTCTGTGAGCAGCCTGCGGGCAGCGGTGCCTCCACCCCCCCCCCACCACCTGGGGCTGCGGACTGCCCTCAAGGGACAATCTGGGTAGGGAGAGGAGCTCTGAGCGCCCCCAGGTGCATCGGCTTTCTCTGTCCAGGGAGCAGCAGCAAAGAAATCAAAGGACCAGCAAATCGTGGACCCCCTGCAGTAGGTATGCAGCACTGTGCTGCCTCTGAAAAGAGAAAGGCAGGCAGGCTGAAAGCACAGGGGGCAAGCAGGCTGGGTGCTCAGACTGCAGTGTGGTGTTCCTACCCCTCATGCAAGGTGAGCAACATTTTCTTCCCGGCAAGGCCCAAGACTTGATGGGGATAAATGACCTGGCAGCACGAGAAGGTTTTCAGACTTTCACTGTGGAGATGTGAATGTGCTGGGAGTCAGGCTACAGGAACGTTCCCTCACCACAAAAGGGGTGTGTGTCACAGCGGGTTGACCGCTGGTGCCCAGAGACCCTCAGCCCTAGCAAACCGCGCCAGTTTGCCTGCATGTTCCACCCTCGGACCAAACTCTCAGGAGGGGCTCATCAGGCAGCACTCCTCCACGTGGGGGACGCCAGGCCCAGTCTGCCCTGCTGCCCTGGCCTCGCCCGGAGTGGGGCACAGCCTTCCCTGTCTCCTGGCGCAATTGGGTGCCCACTTCTGACAGTGCTCTTTCCAGACCCGTGCTTCTTTCGAGCTCCACAGGGCCAACCCCGCTCAGAGGGATGTTCAATGCGAACGGCCTGCTGGCACCTTCCAACCTCAGCAGTGGCTCCGCAGCGCACCCCGACAGCCCACTCCACATCTCCCCACCTGGAGCCTGCCCGATGAACACAAGCCATGGAGTGCTCACAGCCAGAGCGATGCAAGAAGGCAAGCAGGGGCCCTGGCAGGGCAAAGGGGCATCAAGTAAGGGACACAAGAAAAGAAGCACACAGACCAAAGCCAAGAACCCTCCCACCCGCCAGAGATCGAAGTCACCCTGGCAGAGGCGTGCATGGCTCCCTGCCGACGGGTTCTGTGATGACCTAGGGGCAGGAAGAGCCCAGACACACACCCCATCCCCTCGGCCACAGGAGGACCGGCCGGTGCATGACCAGGGCATGTGATGCAGAGCTGGTGACCCGAGCCTGTTCCACTCGCCCGGGCGGGAATCAGGTGGACGTGCACGGCGCTGGGTCCCCAAGGCAGAGAGAGCTTGGGGAGCCTCCACAGAGCACAGAGAGCAAGCAAAGCGACCCTGAATTCCTTTTTGTTATTGGTTTTGTTCTTTGTGTGGTTGGGTATTTTTTTCTTCTTTTCTTTTAAATAAAAAAGCTGCAAGGTTCCGCCGTCTGCGTCCCCCTTGAGATGGCTGGCAGGTGGTCTGGAAGCGTCCCGGAGGGCGGCGAGCCACGCTGGGGCAAGTGTCCTGGCAGCGACTGCGGCAGCCACAGACCTGTCACTGCACAGCAGCATCTGGGTGGCTCTGGTATCTGTGTCTCCACACTTCTTGGATCTTTTTGCACCATTTGTGAGCATTCCCACTCGGGTCCATCAGGTAATACGTCCTGTTCGGCTGTGGAGACAGAAACCGTTTAACGATGCTGAGGGGTCCCGCCAAGAGCAGCACCCTACTGCAGCCCCCGAGGGTACCTTTGGAGGCACACGAGCATGTGGGTTTTCTCTGCGCATATGTGCAGACATCACACATGCGGGCAAGGACCTACAGTTCCCTTAGGTCACCCCCACCCTGACAAACAAGCACAGGGGCCTGGGGGCCCAGCTTGGGGCTGAGCTGGGAGCGTGGGGCCCCTGGGACACGAGAAGAGGGGGAGACAACTGCCCTGCAGAGAACCCATACAGACAAACTCACCGTGTGCACGAAGAAGGTTTTAAAGTTCTTGGCCTCCGGTCGGAGTTCTTGTGACCATGGAATTTCGCCTTTCAGGACTTTGTTGACAGGATCCACGTAATACAAGTGTGGCCCTTCCGTGAGCAGTAACTGTCGTCGTCGTGCAAACAAGCCCTGATGCAAAACGAGAAGACCCTGCTGGTCAGGGCTCAGAAGTGGGAGTGGGCAGCACCTACCGCAGCCTCAGAGGCTTGGCCATCACAACAGCCCGGGGCTCAGGACCAGCGCCAGCCCCCCGTCCGCTCGCCTGGGACCTGGCCTCTCAGGTCAGAGAGGGACAGGCAGAATGAAGCGCCCAGCCTGCCCGGCCTCTGTGAGCTGAATTCCAATGGCCCCACGTGGGCGTGTCTCCCTCCTGTTGCCACATGAGGGAGCGGCAGCACCGGCAGGCAAACCCAAGCCTTGCTCCACCCAGCCTGCCAGGGACAATCAGGGCGCCCCTCGTGCCCTCTGCTCCATGGGAGGGGGGGGCCTCCCCACTGCTGGCACCGACCAGGGCGGCGTGTGCAGCACGGCCAGGAAGAGAGGCCTGGGGCCTGAACTCAGAAGGGCCCGTGTCGGCAGAGTGTTTGTGGAGTCTTGATATTTTTGACACAATCCATGAAACAAATAACAAATTTCAAAAACAATTCTAATGAACTAAGAGACAACTTGATAGGGTATCAAAACCCCAAGCCAGAAACAAGAGGCTGTCTATTTTACCACAGCCTTCCTGTGTGGTTTCAAACAGCTTCCCCCGAGTGGCTCAAGTTTTCCTTAGCCGTCAAATCTAGAAATGATCTTTCAGAGAAAGGGAACCAAGACCAAGGAGACATGCGCAGCAAGGATCAGCCAGAGCCCGTGGCGGAAGGCCAGACCCTGACGCGGCTGAGGGGAGACAGACCCTCGGGGAGATGCAGCGAGAGTCTGACTTACCTTCCGCTTATCTACGGGACCCATCTTTAGTATTAAGTTATTTTCTACAAACTGGTGCCTATAGAAAGAAGAAAACAAGAATGAGACGCTCACGTGAGTCAGGGACAGAAATTCTCCCCAAGCTCCTCCACTCAAAACGAACTTGCTGAGGGCATCTGCATGCCTTGCCCAAGCCTCGCCCGTCACGGCCCCAACTCGCTCCAGGAACTCAGGAGGCCCCAATTGTCAGAGAGGGCGCACGCAGGTGCCCACTGCTCGACAGCTTTCGGTCGGGGTGTGCGGACCAGCACCGTTGCCTGCTGCTACCTCTGGCTGGGCAGCACAAAGGTGGCGGCAAGGGGACGCCGGTCCTCCTTCATGTGAACAAAACTGGGGTAAACACAGAGCCCCTGAAAGGGTGGAGGCTTCCAAGAGTCAGCCCCAGGACACAGACTGCTGGCCACGCAATACCTCCCCAAGCTGGGCCCCCCAATCCAATGCTCAGAAACCACCGAGCAGCTGAGAATCACAGATCCCAGAAAGACTCACGCCGGACTCGGTCTGAGAACATCTTCTCTGGTGTTTCTACCATAGTAACACAGCACTCCTACTCAAATATGGCAGGAGTCTGGAAGAGAAAGCTAGGAACACAACTTTGACTTAATGTGCATTCTTAGCAAGTATAGTTCACTTTGACTCCAAGGAGGATAAAAAAGGTTGTTTTAATGTCTACGGGTTCTTGCTTTTGGTTAAAGTGAATAGTTGCCAGTTTATGTTCTGACTTTACTGAAATTCCTGATCTGAGGATCTACTGTAGAACACAATATTTTTTATCTGGAAAGGCCTAAGACAACTGTCACCTCCAACAGTGACAGTTTTATTACTTTAGTATCTGAGCGCACCCACACAAGACCCAGTGCGTGCAAGACAACTGGCCGAGCTGGCAGAACCATGTTTTCCCACCCAGCTCACCTGGCCCCGAGGTCTGCCCATGCTAACCCAACCAGACCCAGGCCGGCTCCAGAGCTCACAGAGGACCCGTTCCCAAGGACCCAGCCTACATGTGAGTGGACATAGCCACAGGTGGATTCTGAAAACTAAAAAGAATTTTAACGAAAACAGTGCTGTATGAGGAAAAGTACACCACCTCCCTCTCAGTTAAAAACCAAACAAACAAACAAAACCAAGACTTGAAACAAAGAGGAAAAAAATTCAGGATATTTTTGAAAAGCAGACAGAATGATCTGCAGCGCAGAAACAGATCAAACAGAAAGCCTCTTCTAACCAACAGACCCTAATGTAGAAGAACTGGATGTGTAGTAAAGAACCACAAACTAACCATAAGGAGAAGACTTGAATTAACTGTAAGAGGTGTGGGGAGTCGGGGGTGGGGGGAGGTAGCCAGACCCCCGGGGCGCTGGGCTGATGGTGCCATAGCACCAGGGAAGCTTGACAGGCCTCACAGTATCTTTGCCGCCTCATGTGGTCTGACAGGAGACACCGAATAAAATATTAATCGAACAAGAGATTCTGGTTTTCCCTGAGCTTGAGAAACTAGGGAAGATTTTCCTTGAGGATAGTTGACACTGAGTCCAGTTCGCTGGCAGCCTCAAAGCAGCCCAACCCCCCTGCCAGGGCAGGGCTAGGAGAGGGGGGAGGAGTTCCTGTCTAAGCAGCAGCCAGGACCACGGGAGGACAAAAGCACCTCCAACTACAGAACCACCACGGTGAACCAGGAGGCAGGCTGGAGAGGTCTTTAGTAAATATGGCCCACAGGGTCAACATCACTCTGCAGAGCACATGCAAAGCAACAGGAAAGGCTTAAAGCTAAAAAAAAAAAAAAAAAAAAAAAAGGATACGAACTAGCAATTCCCCAAAGAGGGCGTGGCCCCAAATTTTCAATGGCTCTAAGTAAACAAAACTGAGCTAGCTGCCCTTCCTGGGTGCCCTACTGGGGTTGCCCTGGTGTGTGTGTGAGCACCTGCTCAGCACCGGAACCTGTGGTCCTGAGCTTGAAACTCGCTTAAAAGCAATTTGGAAATGATGTATTGCGACGTAATCCCACTCCCAGCCATTTACCCTCAGGAGGTAAAGAAAAATGAAGATTAGAAGCACAGATGTCCACAACAGTATTACAGTGAAACTGAAACCACAGCAATGGCTCAGCAACAGAACATTCTGGCACCGCAGGGAAGCAGGCAAGCCCCTTCCTCGTCCCTGCCGTGGGGACCCCACTGACTGAGCCCAGCCTGACTATGTGGACCAGCACACTTTCGGGCCCTGTCACACGTGCACAAGCGCAGCCCCCGCCTTTCGCACTCCTCCCGGGCGGTGACAGCTAATGCGGGCTCCTGACTGGATCCAGTGGCTGGGGTGAAACGACCCCAAGGCAGGACGCAGAGAGGCTCCGAAGCTCCATTATTAGCACAAATGCCACAATGCAATCGTGCAGTGCGTTTGCCAGTTAGCTCACAACAGGCTGCTAGTGAGCTACCTTGGAAAGTTTAAGCACTTATTAAAGGAATCATTTTCAATTTTTTACTTCAAAAAGTCAATTTCCACTCCCCTGAAAACGCACCCCCTGCCCTGTACACGGGGCGCGTTTTCCTCGCTGGCAAGTGGTGGATGCCGTCTGCAGACTCGGAGCTGAAGCCAGACCCGAGTCAGAGACTCTCAAGAGTGTGGTCAGCAGGTCATGCTGACCACACAGTGACGCTCACCACTGGCTCTGTGCCGACGTCCACGCAGGCTTGCCCATGGTCGTTTCGCTAGGGGGGGATGCTGTCGAGGTACTCCTTCCTCCTGATTCCAAAGCCAGGGTTCTCTCCTCCTCACCCTATCCCTCTAGCAACGCCCAGGCCCCAAGAAGGTCATCTTGGACGATGCAAGCCTGAGGCCACAAGCAAGTCTGAGCCACTTCAGGGCAAAGTCACTCCCAGGGAAGCCGAGCGAGCCGGCCAGAACCCTGAGGTGGCTCTTCTGACCACCTCAGGAAGCCTCTCCACACTGGGCTTTGACCCATAGGATGGAAGAACAAGTGACCAGTTTGCTCTAAAACGCCAGTTCTGGGGACCCCTTTACACCCTCAAACTTGATGGAAGGTCCCAAAGAGATTTCCTTTATTGGGGTTACACATTGATATTTAGGTAGGAGAAATTAAAACGGAGACATTTTTAAATAATTCATTAAAAACCACAAATAAAATCATCACATACTAATATAAATAACATTTTTATTCAAGAGTAACTTTTTTCCAAAATAAAGACAATTCATGGGAAGCATGACCCCACTGTACATTTTGCAAATCTTAATATCTGGCTTTGGAGAAGACGGCTGGGTGACCCCCCATCTGCCCCAGCCTTCACTGGGCTGTGCCCCACTGTGCACACTGGAGCACACGAAGGACTCAGCCTCACTGAGTCAAGTAGCTGGAACAGGAAGGAGTGCCTTTAAAAGCCTCTTCAGATGACGACAGGCATTCTTCTTTGATAATGCACCCAAACTCAACAAGCGGAGTTCCTTCAAAGTCTGCTGCCACCTGGAGTCAAGAGTCCCACGACGGCTCTCTCACACTCTAGAGACACTAGAACTCATCGGTGTACCTGGCACTTTGAACAGCTCTGCCCCCAGCACCCACCTGGAAAACGCTGGTTTGCGGCGTCATGGAAATTGTCCCAAAACTGACAAATTACCTCCCACGATATCAGCCAATCAACTCATTACCGTCACGACCTCTCTCCTTAAGTCTTTAAGTCCTGGGAAGATGTCAAACTCACAGGGATAAAGGTTCCCCAAATCCTAACTTCGATTTTATGACTGGTAACAAATACTGGCAGTTGTTTGTCTTAAAGGACGGGCTCATTCCACTCCTTTTCCAGAAAAAAACGGCCCAACGGCCAAGTCTGAATAACCCCAGTTTGCCAGGAAAACACTGTAGTGAAAACAGTCTTGCATGCAAAGAGCAGCTGACCGTGCTCCCAACACCACTGCTTTGCTTGAGAGAACTCACTCTTGGCTTGGCAGCAAAGATACTTCCTGCACACTTCCCATTTCATTCAGACTACTAATAAAACCAGTAATTTTTGACAACTAGTCCCAAGTGAGCCTGGTGTCTTTTCTTCCCAGGCGTGCACGGAAAGCCGCGGTGCTCGCGCACCGCCTGGTGCCACAGCCTGGACTCCTGACCTGCCCCCCAAGGCTGTGCCCGCCACTGCTCCTGCAGCACGGGTGCCCAGGTCAACAAGGCATCTGTTCCAGAACAAGCAGTGAGATTCCAAGGCAGGACTCGAGGCAGACCCTGCCCTGAGCCTGAGGAGGCGTGCACGCAGCTGACAACTGTTCTTCATGCGACTCTGATGGAGAAACTGACTCCCAACTGCATAAGAGGCAACCTTCCCAAATGGTAAAGATCACTCCGGTGGTTGCCGGACAAGTTGGTATGGTGTGTGCCATAAGCATTCTGGGAAACTCTCTGGCTGATGAACTTGCCCTTGTGGATGTTTTGGAAGATAAACTCAAAGGAGAAATGATGGGTCTGCAACATGGGAGCTTGTGTCTTCAGACAGCTAAAACTACGGTGGATGAAGACTACTCTATGACCGCCGACTCTAGCATTGGGGTGGTAACTGCAGGGGCCCCCCAGCAGGAGGGAGAGAGCTGGCTCAGTCTGGTGCAGAGGAATGTCAGTGTCTTCCAATTCACCATCCCTCAGATAGTCCAGTACAGTCCTGGTGGTGCTGTGACTGTGGTTTTCAACCCACGGGACGTCTCACATATGTAACTTGGAAACTAAGGGGACTACGCAAGCACTGTGTGATTCCAAGTGGGTGTAATCTGGATTCTGTTAGATTTCGCTATCTTACGGCTGAAACACTTGGCACTTATCCCAGCAGCTGCCATGGATGGACTTTGGGAGAACATGGCGACTCAAGAGCGGATGTGTGGAGTGGAGTGAACACGGCAGGCATTTGTGCCCAGGAACTGAATCCAGAAATGGGAACAGATGGTGACGGTGGAAACTGGAAGGGAGTGCATACGAGGGTGGTTCAAAGTGCCTATGAAGTCATCACACTCAAAGGACATACCAACTGGACTAGTGGATTAAATATGGCTAAACTCACTGAATCCATGTTGAAAATCTAGCCAGGATGCGTCCACTGACAATGATGGTGCAGGGAATGCATGGCACTGAGAAAAGTATTCCTGAGCCTTCCATGTATCCTGAATGCTTGGGAATAAACAGGTGTGATCAGCCAGAAGCTGAAGGATGATGAGGCTGCTCAGCTCAAGAAAATGCAGATACCTTGCGGGACATCCACAAAGACCTAAAGGCCTGTGACTTCCGGCTTCTAGAGCTTTCAACACCACAGTGTGATTAACCATGAATGATCCTCTAGTTTTCATCCATGTGCATGAACCGCGGTTAGCTTTTCTCTTCCTAAATATGTGAATTTGGGCTCAGAGACTTGAAGACCACACTTGGTTCAATGCTTGCAATATGAGCAGTATCTGGAGATTTAGCCACTCATAAGGAAAAAACATAACTCGGCCAGACGGATGCCAACTCACTCCTGGTGTCTGCAGCTGCCTCTTTAGCCCAGTGAGCTGCTGCACCAGGGCCCGTGGCAGTGCCGGGACTCCTCACCCCAACTGTCACCCGGCAGGCACTCCGCCATGTCGAAGGCCCAACACTCCTTGGCCTCCCAGCTGTCAAGTGCACTTTCCCAGTCTGGACAACGTAACTTCTAAGATGCCACAGCGGCTTCTGTAGTTTAGCTCTGAAAAAGCTCCTCACATGTACACTTACAACAAGCTATTCCTTTATCGTTCCAACTCTGAAAGACAGGCCTCTGGCGCTGCAGTTCCACCGGCACCGGAACAGTACGCAAAACCGTTCTGTTCAGAGACACGGACGGAAGGCACTGACATGCCCGCATATGAGGGGAAGAGAGCCCCGGCCTGTTGTAGCTCCGTATCTACAGTTCCGCCCAGTGTCTCCAGAACACGCATCGGAGAGCGCTCTGACAGCCCTCTGACAGCCCTCGAATGTGGGTGGGGCTGCTAGGGGGCTGAGAAAGCACATCTCTCTCTGAGTCAATATGAAAAATGTTATAAATGTCCTTTTGTTTTAGAATATATCATTAAGATCTACAATGATAGTTTCAGATAAAATTTAGAAATGTTTTTCAGAAATCTTTAAATTTTATTGCAAAACAAGTCAGCAAAGTGCCCTGAGATTCTGTTGTGTGTCCATGTAGGCCTAAGGAAAACTTCAGGATTTCAAAGCAAGGATTTACCAGATGACACCGAGTTGCAGTGATTATAGCAGGTGTAACTGAGGACAGCTAAGAGCACAGCAGAATTACTGAGAATTCACAATCTCTAAAGCTGTACATATTTATACTGTAAACCTACTCCTGTCTATTCAAAAAGGACAAAGCACACAGCCCAGTAGCTGCCAAAGCAACATCACAGTCCAGGGTGCAGCCTCTGAAGACGTGTACTACACACACTCAGAGAATGACAGGGAGAAAGCAAGGATCCTCTTAATGCTATTACACAATTATTACCATGCCCCTTGGGCTGTACACTGAGAGCCCTGTCGTAAGAACAAAGATCTTGCCCTGCCAGATAAGAGATCCTGCAAGCTTTGAGAATCACCAGCCCGGAGAGCCTGAACCTGGAGGGAAGGGATGAGAAGCCGGAACAAAGGGAGGGAAGGCAAGAGGCCTCAGTCCTGCCCAGAACCCAGGCTGCAGGGCCTCAGGGGGGCCCTAAGCAAAGGCACACAAGCCTTCTGGGGAGTCACCCCAAGGCTGCAGGACAGCAGGCCCAGGAAGCTCGGCGCACAGACCTGCCCGGAGTGCCCGGCCTGGTGGTGCTCACACCGTTCTGACCAAAGCCCCTTCCTCCCTACTCTGTACACACTGATACTCCTAAGCATCACCACTTTAGGGAAGGTAAACTCCTGAGAACTGTAGGTTATTCCAGTTGGCTGACGTCTAACTACACTTTTACTGGAGACAATTAATTTCTAATGGCTTGCAACCCTGGCTTCATCACCCACTGCTTCTCCTTTGCACCCTGCCTCCTCCTCTTACTCCTCCGGGCCCGCCTAGCCCAGCCTGCCAACCAGCCTGCCTCCTCCCTCCATGCCCACGCCAACCCAACGCACCTCCCCGCTCATCCCTGCGCCAGACTCCCCTCCGCCCAAGTGAAAGGTGAAACCAAAAAAATGCATGAAGAAAGTGTCAGGGTAGACACACTCTTCTCAACATGACCAAGACAGAAAACAGAAAATAAAAACACAGACGCATTTGACTTTGTAAGAATTTAGAACTTCTATACAAAAATACACACAAAAACACTGAAAAGACAAACTGAAGAAAAATGTTTGTGAAACATACAACAAAAATATTCTTTGCGTCCATGGCTCTCAGAGTCAATTTCCAAAAGATGGAAAATGTACAAGAAGAAAAATAGTCCAAGAAGACCAAGTACCTCGAAAGATAAATAGAAACAGCCAATGATGTTTGCCTCAACCAGGATACAGATGCAAATTCCCACGACCCATCTTTAGAGCATCAAAGTGCTTCAGGAGAGGTAAGAGTGCTGGGAGACGGGGGTTCTCCGGCACCGTGGACACAGAGCACTGCATCCTCACGTGTGCTCACACTCACTCCACCTGCCAAACCAGGGCTCCCCCTTACAAGAAACACCCAGGCAAGTGGGAAACCCTACATGCAAGAGATGATCTGCAATAGTGAAAACTCTGGAATGCCCCACATGCCTCACCTAGGGGCATCCACGTCAGAACACAGATGCCGGCAAGGCCCGGCTCACTGAGCCCTCAGGGTCTCAAACCCTCTCAGCCCCAGGCCAACACTTCCAAACCCCCAGTTCAAGCTGGACCCTTTGAGGGTCCTCGTTTCCCGAGCATGAATGGCAGCAAGGGAGGTGTGAGGTGACGCGGGGCCTTGGCAGGCAGTGGACTTGGAGGGCGGGCGCCTGTGCTCTCAGTCTCCCGCTGCTCGACTCCCACGCGCTCGGCTCTGCTCTTCTAAATGGAGCACTGCTTACATCTATGGATTCTTACCAAGGGTTTCCACTGGCCTGCTTCTCCAGTAACAACCTCTTCTCATCTTCGGAGAACTCTAAGTCCAGTTCAAAAGAATTAGTGTCCAGGTCATGGATATACTGCTCGATGTTGCTGCCCGCCATCTGCGGCAGGCCTGCATCCGAGGCGGACAGGGAGTGGGAGGAGGAGGACGAGGACACCTGCATGCAGCCGAACTGGCTCAGGAGGTTGTCGTACTGCGCAGAGAAGAGGGAAGAGTGAGAGCCACGAACAATTCCCCCTTGGGCCCCCAGCCCAGACCCAGCAAGCTCACGCCCTGGAGGTCTTGAGGCCCCCGTGGCCGCTCTGACTCCTCCTGCCACCAGGTGGCGGGCCCCTGAACCAAGGCAGGGCTGGGTGCTGCCAGGTCTGGTCCCCCTCCCGATGGGCTGACCCCCAGTCTTCATTCCCAGGAAGAGGAGACCCAGGGCCTGGGGACTGGCTGACCCCTGCAAGCCCCGGGCTACCCCAACCAGAGGAAAGAAGAGGAGGGACGGACGGCCTCCTGGGTGCAGCAGCACCCTCCTGTAAGCTCAGGAGCCCTCGTCCTTGACCCTGTGGCTTGACGTTTCTAAAAGTCTGTGGTTGTCGCTATATGTCCCAATTTGACTGTTCAATTTTTTAAAAAATATATCCCTTTTAACTACAGCAAGTATTAATTAAACTTGATAAAAAGTTGCGGGCTCTTCTGGAGAATGCTATAAACCGGTGGTAACACGAAAATGGACTTACTCACAGAAGTGCCAAACAGGCAAAGCCTATGCACTCAGATACCCCTGGGGCCGGTGAGAGGGCCAGAGAGCCCCCAACGAAGACCTAAGGAAGAGTGCTCGCCCTTGACGGTCTGCTCCCCACAGCTACAGGCCCCACGCCTGAACCCCACCCACTGCAGCCAAATACAAGGGAAAAGAAGCCATCAGCAAGGGCTGAGACCAGAGCCCGCATGTCCTTCCAAGTCCCCTGTGTGGCCAGAAAGGCCCTGGCTGCCACCCTTGAAGGTGAGCCCCAGACAGAGCACACACCCCCCCCCCCGCCCACCTGCAGACCGTGCTCCCACCCTCCTGACTCACTGCCGGGAGTGGCCTTCTCCCAGGTGCTCACACTGCACAGACAGCAGGCTCAGCCAGCCTCACTGGCTCCTGGGTGGGACTGACCCTGGCTGGACACTCCTACAGCCCCTCATCTAAGTAAGGTCTTCTTCTAGCACATTCTCTGCTTCTGCTCTGTGAGGACTCCCTGGACCAAGGCCGCCTCTCAACATCCCAAAGTTTACAGAGGCTTCCACCGCCAGGTGTCTCAGGGGCTGCAAGGCCAGTGAGATGGATGTCTCCAACATTTCCATTTCTAAAACAGGGAAACTGAGGCATGGAACTGCCCCAAGACCACAGCCTGCTAGCTAGCACCGAATTAGGACTGGTCCTCTACGTCTTTCCCAGCACAGCAGCTGCCCTGCTCTTGTCTCAGCTGTTGGCTTCCCGCCACCATCACCTGGGTGACTCCTGTCTTGGCTGCGGTGCTGCACCACGCCCCACAGAAAGCTCTAGATGTATCAGTTCTCTGCTCTTCGATCCTTGGTAGCATCTAGGACAACCCACAGCACAAAATGCAAGCCCAGAAAGAGCGTGTGACAAGGGGTGACACTGGCTGGCATGGGGGTACCTGCTGGCGCGCATTAAGGAAATTCCCCATGATGCTCCAGCACAGAGGCTTTTTCCAACGGTGCCACACCTGGCACACTCCCTCCAGGGTCTAACCACCAGCACCACCACCAGCCACCGCAGCAGATTAAGAACACACAAGAGAACCAAGTGCCCGCTCTCTTCATTCCCTGAGCAAACACAGTTCCCAGTTCTTTGCCTCCAGAGGGAGCCTCCTTCCTGCTGAAAAGGACCCCAGACTCTCTCAGGACCTCGTGGATGAGAACATGCCCCTGCAAGACTGTCAACACCCACAGAATGGGAGTGCCCCCTCCCGTATCGGACACGTTCCCAGGTCAAGGCTCACTTCACTGTCCAAATGCAAAGTCTGGTACAGCGAGTGCTGCCTGAATACCTCCCCAAGACTTTCAAACCACACAACTTTCAAAGCTGAGGATGAGCCATCTAACAGAAAGTAAGCCATTAACCAATGGAGCTGGTTCTAAGATGGCCACACCTGAGTACTGAGAAGCCAGGGTTCGCAGCGAGGTGAATGTGACCAATCAGCAGACAGAAGGCCTGCCCAAGACACTCCACCATGCGTGTAACACACATGCACAGGCACACACAGCTCCACGAAGCTGAGCCCCAAGTCAACAACGGCATGAGTGGCCCCTGCAGAGTCGGCAGTCCGAGCAAGCTGCTTCACCGGCCACGGCTCCAGAAGGACGTCAGGCCCGGGGGACGGAGTCCTGGGGTGGGGTCCCCCGCAGTCCGCACACGCGGAGGCTGCTGACAGCTGAGACCACCGGGTGGGGGAAGCAGGCCAGGAGTGAGCCCAGATGGCTACCCACACCAGACTCCCTTCAACTCTGGGCACAAAGGATATTTTAGGACAATAAAAGGGTGATGTGTTGTTTACAACAGTAAGGAGACAGAAGAAACTCGGTCTCTGAGAGGATATGAGCAGTAATTGTAACTAAGCTATGGATGATTTTTAGATAAAATCTAAATTCCCCAGTCAACTAACGTGGCACTCTATACACGGGAATTGGCTAGAATAAGCCACGATGACAGAAGTTACACCAAGAAAACGGACTGTGGATGGTAACAGAAACATGGAAAATCATATTTAAACATGGGGGGTTGTGGTGGAGGGTGAGGAGGGAGCATAGGACTGCCAAGAAGCTGGTCACTGGTGGTGTGAGGGGGGTGCACGGCCACTCACTGTACCCCTCTGCCCACTTCCGTGTCTTCACATCCTCCATAAGGAACGTTCAAATAACAAAGTATACTCAAGACCCCACCTCTACTAGGCACAAAAAGCTAACAGTGACCAGTGTCCCCCAAAAGTTCAAAGCAGCAGCACCCTAGGCTTCTGGAAGATGAGAAGCATTCCAGAATGTCTTTAGATGCACGATTACAAAGCACCAGCCAAAAGCAGAAGACAGAAGCCCAGGGGGACAGCATGGAGGGTGCTGCTCCCACTGGTTCCAGTCTCCCCAACCCAACGGCAGGCTGCCTCTGAGGGAAAACTAACTACAGTAAGAAAAGGAGACTGCCCTCAGCACCCCCAGCCTGGCAATCTGCGCTCGGGGCAGATGGGCAGATGGGCAGACGGATGCTTCACTGGCCCCCGTACTGGGGAGACTCCGCCAGTGGCTACACAGGGCTCAGCCACCAATAGGTCTATACTGGCCTCCCCTCCAGCCATGCATTCCACAAGCTGGGCTCCCAGGGCCCATGGCAAGGACTCCCTGTGCACCGAGGAATGGTGGCACACAGCGCTGTGGGGCTGTTCCTGACACACACGTGCTTGTGCATGCACACGCTCCCCCCCCGACACACGCACAAACACCACTCACGCATGCACACCCCCCCCACACACAGACACGCCGCACGCGCGCACATGTGTGCACACGCCAGCAGGCTTACGTTTCCGTAGCAGTCCTCGTCATCCTCTGACATGGCTGGCAGGTAGGCAGTGAGCTTCGGAGGCGTCTGATGCTGCAGGTTCTCCCACGTGATGGACTCGAAGAACGGATGAGCTCGCAGGGGTCCGTACCCTCCCATTTCCTCACAGCCTAATCGCTTCGTGGCATCTAAAACCTGAAACAGAAGTCAACACAAGTCAGTGCTTGGATCGAAAAGTATTTGACAAAAACGTTCTTTGTCAGTACAACTTTTCAAATCTTCTCATCTCAGACAAAGGAGGGCACTAGGGCCTGTCCCACCCCATCCCACGGCGTGCCGTGGACAGCAGAGTCACCCCCGGGGCTTCGTTTACCTCTCTCAAGCTCCTAGCCCTCCCCTTGCACAGGTGAAAATAACTCAAAATTTAATGAATAGCATCAAAAAAAATCTTAAAATACACAATTAAAAAGCCTACAACAAGAAAAAAATAAACATTCTGTCTTTAATAACAAAGAGACCAAGAGTCTGTCTAGATGGCGAGCTACCACGGACAGAACTCAAAATGCTGTGTTCTCCCACCCGTGCTTCATCTCAAAGGGTCCCAGAGTCGTCTCCTCCCAGATTCAGCTTTATGCCCCTAGACCCACCGAGCATTAACACGCTGCCTGCTGATGGGACAGGCCCTGGAGGGGCAGGCCGACACAGGGCTGACCCTGTCCCCAAGACGAAGGGAGTGAAGGGGAGGTCCAGCACCCGTGCACACCAGGGCAGGGACACTGCAGCTGCGAAACACAAACTCCAATACCTTTGCTGCGTGAATCGCTTACCTCTACCATAGTACCTGGGTGATCTTTAAAACCTTCCTGCGCAGACTCTTAAAGCTGACACCCACAGATGTCACTGTGCAGGATTTAGAGCCATCTGCCACTGTAATACACCTAGTTGCTCCAGCAACAAGTAACTTAAAATCCTATGTATGTTGATGAACAAATGCAAAATGATACAACGATTTCCTGTCTTATTAAAGTCAAGAATCGGGCATTTGGAAATTGAAAAGGACTTACAGTGATCAGATGACACAAATCTACCTACACTCATTATCAACCCTAAGACACCCTTCTGTTAAACACAGGGGCCTCCAGGAAAGCTGCTCTGACCACAAGTTCAGAGGGACTCAAGAGTGTGGCTGTCAGATCATCTTACAGGAGACAATTCAGAATATTTACCAAAAGTTTTTCCACAAGGTCTCTTGCCTTAGGGAAGAATTTTTCAGGAAAGTCATATTCCAACTTAATGATCTTCTGAAATATAAGATATTCATTTCTGTAAAACAAGAAACGCCATCACTTGGGCAGAGCGCACGAACCTCCCCAGCACAGAGCTTTACCATTCCCGGGCCAGCAGTCTCCCTCTCTCCTGCAGAGACACCACTGCAGAAGTCCCCGAACCCTGGCCCAGCCCCGGGGGCTGCCCCCTCCCACCTCTCTTGCAGCTGCTGCGATGGGCTTGGGGGTGGTAGGTGGTCTTACCCCGCTCGAAAAGGCGGCAGTCCTGCCACAAGCTGGTATATTATACATCCGAGAGCCCAAAGGTCTGAACTTTAAGGGAGGGGAAAAACAGAGAAGAACGACGTTTGGAAAATGTCCGTGACAAGCACAGTTCACTCTGGTTCGTACTGCCCCATCTCTGATCTACTTCTCTTCTTTAAAACCAGGTCAGTGTGAGGGTAGGAACCTGCTCAGGGTCCTTCTTGAGGGGGCCTCCCTGGGGACCTGGACTCGGAGAGTCCCACACACAGCAGGCACTACTGGGCCAGGCCATGCGGCCATTCCCACAGCCCTGCCACTGCCGGGGGGCTCCCAACTGTCTCACAGGGCCCATGTGGACCTGAAGAGACAGCAGAGGTCACTCCTGACTACAGAAACACTGACAGTGACAGAGAAGCACCTTCTTCCAGCGCCGGGCAGCGGGCTCCCGGCACTCACTGCAGGTCCGTACAGCGACAGATCAACTTAGATTCTCTCGCAACTCACTCAGCGTTTACCCCCAGAACACAGATGCAAGCCAAGGGGCCAAATGAGACACTCCACAGGATGTGCACAAAGCAAGCTTTAACTCTGTCCCTTCTTGAACTTGTGAAAAGCCCTACCCTTCCTTCATAAATATTTTAATTCCACATTTTAAAAGAAACAGTTCTAAACTTCCCTAAGCTGTTTCCAGAACCAGCTAGCAGGGACCCTGGAGGGGATGCTCTTCTCGCCTGTGATGTCGCCGCCCCTTTCCCACCCTGCCCTGCTCACTCTCGCCCTTCAGTGCCCTCCTGGAGCTCATGGCTGACATCAACTTTGCATATTTTCTTTCCTCTGGAAATTTTTCTTTTTTTCCCCCTTTTTTAATTTTTTAAGATTTTATTTATTTATTTGACAGAGAGACAGAGAACACAAGTCTCTCCCTTGACCGACTGAGTCACCCAGGCGCCCCTGGAAATTTTTCATTCTACTCCCAGCTCAGCATTACAAAAGCATCCAGATGCAACTTGTCCCGCACCGCCAGCTGCCTCCCCCGAGCCCTGAATGTACAAGGGCTCGTGGGCTGCTGCATACAACCAGCTTTTGGAAGAGGCCACGGCCTCCCATTCAGGAGATGAGACTGTAGGGTGCGGGTGGAAGGGTCAGGCCAGCCGCAGTGCCGGGGGCAGGAAGGGCACGTGACGTGTGTTAAAACACACAACAGATCAAAAAAATGAGGCACAACATGCAAGTGGAGTGAAGGGCATTTAAAAAATGAATCTACAAGGGCGCCTGTGTGGCTCAGTCGTCAAGTGTCTACCTACGGCTCAGGTCATGGTTCCAGGATCCTGGGATCAAGCCCCGCATCGGGCTCCCTGCTCAGCGGGAAGCCTGCTTCTCCCTCTCCCACTCCCCCTGCTTGTGTTCCCTCTCTTGCTGTATCTCTCTGTCAAATAAATAAATGAAATCTTAAAAAAAAAAACCCGAATCTACATTCTACCTAGTAACTAGTTTTACACTTGGTTTTCTCTACTATCCAGTCTAGTGAAAATGGGGAGCCACACAAGACAGACGCCAACAGAAAAGCCTCAGCCCTTTGCAGTGGCAGCGGCCAGAGATTGAGCAGGCGGCTATGCGCGGGCTGCCGCCTCCAGGAAGCATCCGCACAGCCGGGCCTGGGCTCTTCTCATTCCTGTGCATTATCTGAATGTTTATCACCAGCAGCTCTCCTACCATTTGAGATGGTTTTTTAATACAATAAAAACTAGAGAGGGAAGTCGGTGTAATATTTCTGGAAAGCAGTACGTACCAAGGATTTTTAAAATGCTAAGTTAGACCAAGTCATTCCACTTCCTGCAATCGAAGCAGAGGACTGTGAAGCAGCCCCCCGCAGACTCAGGACACGCAGGGGCGCCCTTCCTCCCCAGGGCCTGGCATGTGCGGCACGTGGCAGTCACGCCAGATCGTGCCACGTAAATGAAAAGCACCTCAGTGCCAACAATAAAGGACGAGCTCAATGACCTACAGTAAATCCATGTGCCAGAAGCACACAGTGTCAGAGATGTCTACAGATGACTTCAGGGACACGGGAGACGCTGGCTCCGTAATCCCAAGAAACAGGGCTCAAGCTGAACAGAAGTCATGTGAACATACAGAAGACACACAGAAATAACTAACTGCAAAGACACTGGTGTTTGTAAGTGGGCTGCAGACTCTTGAGTGTTCCTTGCTCTTGTACCCTCCATGTTTTCTAAGAATTCTTTACAATACACAGGTATCACTTTTAGAATCAGAAAACAAATCTTAACTATTTTCGAATAAATACCACGACTTAAACATTTCAAAGCATAAAAAGATACACAATGCCGTCTCCCTTACAGAGCTACCTCCTCACGCCCCCAGAGGGCCACTGCCCCCACTGCCGGCGCACCCACCCAGGAGAGTTTAAATGACGGACAAGCGAACGTGGGTAGACATGCTCCTTCCAGTTTTCACACAGAAGGCAGCGGCCACTCTCCCTTCCTATCTCACCCAGTAGAGCCTGGAAGCCTTCCCCCATCAGTGCTAAAGGGCTACTTCATCCTAAAAGCCCCAAATTGAGGAAAAGCTAGCCCGTAGGCAGCCATAACACACGCTTCGAGAATCTGGCCCGCAGCACCCACCACCCAGCCTCGACACTGTGGACACCAGGAGCCTATTCAGTCTTGCTGGGGAGCTGTTATCTGCATCTCACCAGGCTGAGCAGCGTCCCTGGCCTCCACCCACCAGTCGCCAATAGCACTCCCTTCCCACTCCTGTCAAGTGGTGACACCTAAAGTGTCCAGACAGGGCTAAACGTGCCCTGAGGGGCAGAACTGCCCCAGCTAAGAAGCCCTGCCCTACAACAATGTCTGGCCCACAGTAAGAGTTCAGATTCTGTGGACTGAGTAAGATTAAAAAAACAAAAACAAAGAACCCAGAGACTGCTAAGAGGCCCACCCACCTTCATGTGCGCCCTGCAGCTCCAACCCCTAGAGTGTTTTCAAAAAGCAGTCACACTCAGAAACACAGAGCCGCCCCCAGAACCACTCACTCCTCTGCCACTTCTGGCAGGGCTCTGTCTCTCAGGAAAGTGGCTCCTTGCAGCCGGCCAGTACAGGACACTGACGGCGTGGCCCTCAGTCAACCCGGGGGAGCCCCCCCACCCTCCACCACCAGCATCAAGGAGCCAGAGAAAAGCTCCAGCCACAGAACTTGTCATCTGGAACGGCTCTCAACACTGAGACCCCAGACTCTACTGCTACCTCTCCATCCTCCGCCTGCCTCAGGCCTGCCCAAGACCGTTCTCCTGACTTCTCCCTGCTCCTGGCCATCAGCACACCCACCCCCCTTCTCCCCTGCTGCCCTGCTGCTGACTCTTCCCTCTCCAGACCTCTGTTCCTGCGAGGAGAACCTCACCTATGCACCTCTCATTTTCAAAACTCAGGCCCCCACTCAGGCCCTCGACCCTGTGGCTCCAGGCCTGTGCCGGTTCTAAGCACTGGGGAGGGATGGCTCGCACTGGCTGGGGAACCAGCTCCACCCCCTCCCACACGGGCTGCCTTCCGGGCCTCTCCCCACACTCTGCAGAGCCTGTTTTGCTAGAGTTGACCTGCTGCTGCTGCCACCGCCAGGGGGCACCAGCTGGAGGCAGCGCTATGGATCCCAGGGCTCAGGGACACGGCAAGGAATACAGACCTCCTGGCCACACTTTTCCCCCACTGAATAGTTGCTCCTAAAGGAACAAGATCAAATCTCAAAGCATCAAGCAACAACAGCCCCAGGAAGTATAACAAAGAACAATAAAGGAGCACACAGGTTATCCAAGAAAGATACTGATAAAAGCCATAAAAGGCACTCTCTTAACTGTTAACTGTACATGAAAAAACGAAGGTAAGAGCTACTGTAGTGAAATGAAAATATCCTGGATCAGATGAAAGTGAGTTACCTTTTACAGGCCGACTTCTCCGTGAGCAGCTCTGGAGACACATACTGGGCTGTTCCTACAAACGAGTTGGCCCTGGCTGATGAGAAGAGAAAAAAGGGAGAAAGGTCACGCTGAGACACAAGCATTTACCAACACTGCACCATGGATGCTCACCCATCAGGACGTCATGGTTCACAAGGCGTAACTGAGCTCTCGGTCACAGCACTAGTCCCCTGGAATCGGACTGACTTGTCCAGGGCCCTCCCCTCAAACCCCCTTCTTGGGGCTCTCTCCTCTAAGGGCTGGCTCAAAGGTCACCCACTCTGTGACACCAGCCCTGCCAGGGCAGTCCCTCCAGGCCAGCCCGCCGCAGTCCTCCGGGCACCTCTCACGGACACACTAGAGAGGCATTCGCCCAGCCTCCTGTTAGCTGGGAGCATCCTGAAGACAGGGGACTTGTCTGTTTGGTTCACTCCTGGACCTGTGGTGCCTAAAACAGCAGGCACAGACGGGAAATGCAGAGATATGGGAACAGACCCAACCCCATGCAGGCTACGCGCCCCCTAACAAACAGCTCACGGAGGTTAGGGGCGATAAAGGGAGTGAGACCCAGGAGTTCTGGCCAGGGAACCTTCCGAACACCCTGCCGCCTCTGGTACTGGGTTTGCAACACCAGGCTTGCCAAGCTCAACCCACAGACTCCTAGGGTCAGTGACAGCAGGACCCTCTGGACCCGCCCGTCACAAAACAGATGATGCAACAACACCCGAGTCACCCCAGTGGCCCTCAAGGCCCTCAGGCGCTCAAGAGCAGCCAAGCAGCCCTGACAGGGCGGCACTTTGGGCAGGAGCCGGCCTCTCTACCACATGGCTCCTGAGGCATCTGCATGGGGCGTCCTCTGATATGCAGGACAGCACAGTCACTCCGCCTTTCCCTGTGACCGACAGACACAGGACTGGGATTCTCATGTGACAAGTGCCCACCGTCTGAGAGCAAAACCCTTCTCTTAGGAGCATGTGAAATGCTGTGTCACCCCTGACACTTCCCGGGAGACACCCCCCGCCGTCACTTGCCGTGACCTGCCACACACGGCCTTCCACACCCAGCCCCACATAGACAGCACCCTGTACCCACACCGAACAGCTGTTGGCAAGGCTCTGGTCCTGCTCGGACAGGCCCCTGGAGGAGAAGACCACCTTTCCCAGCACCAGATTCCAGCATGGCTCTGTCTCCTGTCCCAGCACCCCGTGGCAGACAGGAGACCTAACCATGGTTGCTCCGGGCACACAAGCCTGACCCTTTCGTAGATCACACAGTCCTTTTTCTCATTATCCTTAATAATCCCTGCTAGAAAGTATTTGTCCCTAAGGACATATCTTCCTGAACCGACCTAAGAAGTAAAACATCACAGCAACACACCTACCAATGAATGGTCGCCAGACCTCCAGGCCACTTCTGAAACCGGGGACACAGAAAGCAGTGACCAGCCCCGTGCAGGGTCCTGCCGGGTGGGCTTACTGACAAGGGTCTGAACTTCTCTACGCAGGGTTCTCAGCTGGGGACAGACAGGCCCCCAGGGGACACCAGGCAACGCTGGGAGACATTTCCAGCTGGCACAACAGCGGCGGAAGGGAGCTCCGCTCACCCAGTGCGCAGATACCAGGGCTGCAGCTAAGCATCCTACAGGCTGCAAACAGCAGGAGCTCTCCAGCCCCACACGTTCCCCAGGCCCTTGGTGGCCTCCATGCAGCCTCCCTAGGACGGCACTCTCCAACCCTCTGAAGACACGGCCCTAAACAGAACAGGAGGAGCCAGTTCCGTTCTGGGACGTTCTGGAGGAAGGGGAGCTGGGGAAGGGAGAACAGCTGAACGTGCCTTCGTCTTTCCTGCGCGGCTGTGTGTGTGTTAAGTCGGGGGAAGCAACCTTCTCCTTCTGCACTTGACTGCAGGCTCTGTACTGGGCACCTCAGACTGGTCCTGACAGAGAAATGACTTGAGGTTACAGCTTCCTGGGACAAAACACAGCAGACCTATGTTTGGTCTGTCTACAAAATTCTTGACAGTATTATGGATATAAATAACACAACACCTGAATTAAAATGCAAACGGAAACCAGGGCGCCCAGGCACACCAATGCAGCACGTGGCGTCTGGGCTGAGAGAGGCCATCGTGTCCCCGCTCACCATCCCTGGGGAGGCCTTAAAGTGGCAGGGGCTCACTGCAGGGGAGACCTCCTGACTACTGTCCAAAGGCCTCTGAGGCAGATGCCCAGGAAGAAGACACGGACGAAGCCAGTGTGCTCACTCTTCCCCATGTGTCCCCAAACATGTTCTCTGTCCTCCTTGATGCTGCGGGGGGGGGGGGGGGGGGGGGGGGGCGTGGGATCCTGGGTACTACAGCCCTAGAGTCAGCAGGAGCCCCCGGAGGGGGGCAGAGGAGAGCCATGGCTGTTACTCCTCCTGCCTCACCCCACGCCACACCCCTCTCCCACTGCGATGCCCCCAACCCGCCCGGGGCCCGAGAGGCTCACAGGACCCCTGTGGGGATCCAGCTCTGTTGCTTCTTGGGCCCTGCTCTCTGTAACTGCTCCCTTCGTTATTTTCATGTCAAGACTTTGTGGCTGCATTTGCATCCTGCCAGGATCCTCAGTGATACTGCCAAGAACACTGAGGTGATTCATAAGAGGAAAAAAGAAACCCAGAGCCAAAACCAAATGAAACCATTCAATGATGCAATGAATCAAAGAAATGCAAATGAAAACATGATGGCCTATCAAATCAGCAAAGATAAAAAAGGAAATACACACTGTTGGCAAAGATTTGAGAAGACACACACAGTGCTACTGGTGGGGATATGGAAGGGAGTCATTTTCAGGGGAGCAGTTTTCTAAAAAGCATCAAAATTCATAGAGAACAAACTTGCCCTCTGAGCCAGCAACTCCACTCCTGGCACCTGATCCTCAAGGACGGATCCAGCACGGGCAGCAGGACGACACGGACCCCGGGAGCCCCACTTGGTAATTCACTGCGTCTAGTGTGTGTCCATTCTGCATAGTAAACATGCGTTCCTTCTACGATTTCTTTTTTTATTTTATTTTTTAAGATTTTATTTATTGTGCGCCTGGGTGGCTCAGTTGGTTAAGCGACTGCCTTCGGCTCAGGTCATGATCCTGGAGTCCTGGGATCGAGTCCCGCATCGGGCTCCCTGCTCAGCAGGGAGTCTGCTTCTCCCTCTGACCCTCTTCCCCCTCGTGCTATCTCTCATTCTCTCTCTCTCAAATAAATAAATAAAATCTTTAAAAAAAAAGATTTTATTTATTTACCTGAGAGAGAGCAAGATAGTGCAGAAGGAGAGGGATAAGCAGGCTCCCCGCTGATCAAGGAGCCCCACGTGGGGCTCGATCCCAGAATCCCAGGATCACGACCCAAGCCGAGGGCTGACGCCCAACCGACTGAGCCACCCACGTGCCCCTGAGATTTGTTTTTTTAAGGCTTTTATTAAAAAGTTCTAAAAACGTATTTTTGTATGAAAAGATGTATTTACACATAATTAAATAATTCAGGCTATCAAACAATATATAGAGGTGTTGTGCCTTTAAATAGCTACATGATGCACCAAATAAAGTCTAAAACACACACCATTCCCACCCCTGCCCACGGCTGGGCTTTAAACAGTGAATCATGATGTCATTAGGGCTGTGTGGTTGTTGTAGGCTTTCTGGACCTGGGTCGGCTTGTCTCCCAGGACACCTGCTGCTTCCTCTCACCCAGGAGCCCGTGCCCACCTTTTTAGAGGCGAGACTCCGAGTCCCCAGGGAGGTACAAAATCACCCCCGAGGACAGGAGCTCTCGTTAGTCATGAGATGAATGACTCCTCTAGCACATGGAAAAGAACAGGGCTGCCCTCAGAATGATGTTCTTTTTTTTTTTTTTTAAGATTATTTATTTATTGGACAGAGAGAGACACACAGAGAGAGGGAACAGAAGCAGGGGGAGTGGGAGAGGGAGAGGCAGGCTCCCCGCTGAGCAGGGAGGCCAATGTGGGGCTCGATCCCAGGACCCTGACATCATGACCTGAGCCGAAGGCAGACGCTTAACGACTGAGCCACCCAGGCACCCCTCAGAATGATGTTCTAAAGGCATAACAAATATGCAGGAGGACAAAGGATGAAAATACCAAAATATTAAAGCAGTGACAGTGTGATGTAACAGTACGTGATTTTCTTTATCAGTGTAATAAGATCCGGCAAGTCTAACAATACAGTAACTCTAAAGCAGCAATGGGGCACATGACAGATCAAGAATCTGTGACAACCGTAGGGGCGCCTGGGGGACTCGGTCTGTTGAATGTCCTCCGACTCTTGGTTTCAGCTCAGGGTCATGATCTCAGGGTAGTGAGATGGGAGCCCACGGCAGGCTCCATGCTCAGCGGGGAGTCTAGGGGAGATTCTCCCTCTGCTGCTCCTCCCACTGGCGCTAGCGCGGAAAAAAAATCACACTCAATCTCTCTCAAATAAATAAATCTTAAAAAAAAAAAAGCGGGGGGCGGGGGCATCTGGGTGGCTCAGTCGGTTAACTGTCCGACTCAATTTTGGCTCAGGTAATATCTCAGGGTTGTGGGATTGAGCTCAGTGGGGAGTCTGCTGGAGATTCTCTCTCCCCGTCTCCCTCTGCTCCTCCCCCAACTTGTGTGTGCTCTAAAATAAATAAATCTAAAAAAAAAAAAGGAATCTGTGACAACCGTAACGGAACAGAGAAACACCTGTGACTGCTCCTGATGACAGCAGACATTTGTTGCCTACCTTCATAATTAAAGGAAATGTTCAATTTCACTGAAAGTTTAGGAAAAATAAGCAACTTTCTCCTCTCAGCTTCACAGACAGCCAACTTCTATGCATGACACCAGGGTAGAGCCCCAGAGAGAATGAGAAATGCACAGATAACCTAGTTCTCTCCCCCCAGAGGCTCAGAGATGAACCGAAGGCCAAACTGCTCCACCAGTTAGAAAACCAGGTCCAGAATCCACCACTGGCCAAAACGCTGCCATTTCCACGCCACTGACCCACTGGAAGTAGGCTACAGGGTCAGGGTGAAAGTG